AGCATTAGTATCATGCAACATGATGTTTAGAGGGATCACTACCACAGTATCAAGAAACACTCGACATTAATACCATAGTACCCACTAAACTATATAGCCAAAAATCTACAAAGATGCTAGTTTCTAAGAATTATAGCACATGTGACACTCAAAAATATCAAGAACTTAGAAGAGATGAAGATATAATAAAACAAAAAAACAAGATATGAGAACCGAAAAATACAAATCCCATGTATTTTCGGCCCTGACTCCTGTTCTTGAGATTGAAATAAGATGTAAAACCAAATGAAAGGTGGTCGAATGACAGAGAATACAGGCACTAAGGATTTTGTGTATTTCACCTTTTGAATTTTGAAAGCCTAGAGGTTTAGTACCTCCGTAGAATCACAACTTCGCTCAATACGAAAGGGAGTAGTTGGCCAAATGAAAAGGTTACGATAGAAGGAATTAGGGTTTAGGAGCTTTAGGCTTTAATGGTAATTTTATACTACTGACAATGCTGGGTGAACTGCTACTCCCAAGAGGTTCAAAGTTTAATATATATTTGTTTTAGTTTTTTTAGTTAATATGATTACATTTTATTTTATTTTATTAATAATAATTTTTTATTGAATTATTTAAAAATAATGTTCATCACATGTTCAAATATATATTATTTCGAGCCAAAATTAGCCGAACATGAATTAATAAATCTTTGTTCATGTTCGACTCGTTTATAAATCAAGCTAAAAAACTATTTATTTTTGACTCTCTTGCTTAACGAATGAGCCAAACACAGGCTACTTAACAAGCTATTCACAAATAAGAGTCATTTTGGCAACCCCAACATGACATGCCCAAAGATCGGAGCGAGAAAAAACTTTAGAGAGAAGTAGAGACATGTAGAAATAAATAAAAGAGTATGCATAAACTCGCCTTGTACGGATAAACTGGGGTATTCTTGGACTGTATTACCCATTTTATACATTGTAACTAGAGGTTACAAAAAAAGAGGGGAGATAAATCTCCTTACAGAGTATAGGTATAGAGAGAAGAGCTGAAAAGCCTTTGATACATCATATGGACCCCATATTATAGAAGATAAATAATTAAAAGATGAAAAATTACACATTTGCCCATATTTTTAATAGGGGTGTCATAGGAGTTACTGTCTTTTGTTGTGCCTTTTTGAGTTCGTAACTGATTTTGGCATCTATTAATGCACTTAGACCTTTTGGTCAACATTTTCTTGAGTTGCCCGATAAAGTTGGTGTCAGCCAGCTATTTTACTTGGATGTTGGTTGGTCTTCGCTCTAGAAAGTCAGATCAACTTTAAGAAAGACAACATTCAGTTGGTTTGTTCCTTGGATATCTCTTAAGATCCTTGAGGATTTTTTTGGGAGTTCTTGATAGAGCTTAATGTCGGTAACTGTGAGATTGCGAGGGGTACTAGACCTTTGCTTGGTCATTGGCATGAACATTTATTTATTGTTGGTCGATCACCAGCCTTAGGTTGGCTGGTTGTTGTTCGATTGGAGGTTCTATATCCAGTTGGCTTTATGAGTACTTGTAGTTTTTCATTAGAGGGATGCTCCTCGATTTGCAATCAAATTGTCTCGAGATTCATGTAGAACATTTTTGGGTGCACATATCAGATTTTCAAGTTTTCATGCTCCTTAAAGCGACAATTGCGATGAGGAAAAAAAATAATGCAATAAATATAATCTTAATAGCCAAAATTTATTGTAATTATTAGATTCCCTGGATTTACCCACAAAACTTATATATTGGGCATAGGGGTATTTTCCACATCTCAAGTCCATCCCTCCTTGTGTTTGCTTGGTTTCTACAATTTCCTTATGGAGAAAGGATCTAATTTAGAATTAAAACCCGTTGATCGGGCTACGATGCTAGCTGCCCTTGGAATTAGACAAGGTCGGCCTGAAGGTGAGCCAAAGAAGAAGAAGTTGGCTAAGAAGCCAAAACCCACAAAGTGAGTAGAGGTAGAGGAGTCGTCTGACTCAATCAGGGAGACTTAGGAGAAGGTTCAACCCAGCACTGAGAAAGAGCTGTGTGGCCGAGCAATCAATCTATCAATAAAGGCATATGTTGAAGTTTGAGTTTAACCGGGGATTGCGAGTGATTCCTTACCTACAGGTGTACCGAGAGTTAGTGAAAGTGATCCTCTAGTCGGTGAGAAGGGATCAACTATTGATTTTCTCCTCATTAGATGCGGGGAGAGCTACTTGTTCCGAGGTAAATCAGATTCTGGGTGCGCGATTCCCTTTGTTTTCTTTCTACTTTAGTTTTCTTATTCTTTGCTCATTGATTTTTCCTTATAAATGAGAATGCTCGGATCTAGGACTTGTCAGTTGTTGGCAACAATCAAAATCCGACCTTATTGTGGGATGAGGATCTTCATGTAGTGCTGGAGATAATGCGGAGGGTGGCAGTTAATCTTCATCAAGAAGTTGTAGAACTCCGTGAAAATACTTTTATTTTGAGGGCCTATTCTAGGGCCGACCGAGCAAACCAGTTTAAACTTGACAACTGAATGTTGTATATGATGTTGGTCAAAAAGTGTTTGTCCTAACTGAAGCGACCAAGGACCAATTTGTAAAATATTTATTGTCGAATTTGAATCTAAATGTAATTAACTTTTTAATGAAATAAATAATTTTTTTTATTTCTCTCGATTCTAGTGTTGAAGGGTCCATTGGTATGCTTGTTACCTTTTCTCTCATGATCTCGTCGCTTGATACTTTTCCGTTCGCTTGAATTTTTCTACTCATTTTACTATTCTATTTTCCTATGGCCACGAAACAAACTCGCAAGAATATTTGTCTAGTGGCCGCGACCAAGCTGTCCGTATTGTCTCCTTTCAATGTTGACTTCATGACGGAAGCCTTCTTCGACCCGACCATCAAGTTTTGAGTCGCTTGTCTAAATGAGAGGGTCACTGACAGGTCTGAGGAAGTTTTAGTGGAATGATGGGACCAATTCTAATATTGATTGTGACTGCCTTTATGTCATGAAGTTTTAGTTTTTTTCGGTACGTGGTCTTTCCGGCCCAAATCAGGTCAAATTTTATTGCATCAATATTGACTTACGCTATTTCTATTAACGGAAGATAACCCAAAGTTGATTGATTTATTCAGTCACATGTTTTCCTTTCGTGTAGAGTTGGACAGATACATCCACATTGGGACAATTGATTTATACTACTTTTTGGCCTGAAAAACAAAGTAAAATACTAGAAATACAAATTTTTCATTAACTCATTGTTTGAGATCTGGGGCACAAGGACCGTTCAGATCAGTGATACCTTCAAGATGAAGGAGGTTACAAACTATTTCTGGGTTGAGGGGGATGACATTGATGTTCAACTGCTCTTAGATCCCTGTATATAGATCTAGTAACTATTAATCGGGTCATGTTTCTAAGAATTTTTTGTCATATGATACAGACTTGTTGGTTGTCTCTAACGCTGCAGAGATCAAGCGGAAGGAAGAAGTGCTGCTCGAACAACAATGAAGAAGGCCAAGGTTAAGGCAAATTTAAAAGAAACCTCTATGAATGAAGCAACAATAATGGAAAGGAGGTCGATCAAAGCTCGCAGAGGAGCAATCAGTTTAGCGGGTGATGATTTTTTTTCCTGTATTTCTACAACCGCAATAGTGATATCAAATCTCAAATGACGAACTGACCATCATTGCAAGAAGATGTGTGAATCATGCTAACTTTGATAGATATATCCTGAATGCAGCTCCTTTTGGTCGGTGAGAAGTCGAGGGGATATCCAGCCACCCTGAGGAGAGTGTGATGAGGAAAAATCTACCGAGGATGGGGTGACAACATAGTCGGTGATGCATGAAAAGGTTAAACAGAATTTAGGATTATTTTTATATATTTCTATTAATGATATTGCACTTTAAGGATGATATTTTTGTATTTTTCTTGCATGTATAATAGGTAATTGAAGTGGGGAAAGTAGTAGATGACTTAGGGTACACATTTTTCACGTGAAGCTGAGCTGGAGTTTGGCATTTGGATATCGCGTTCGTGACTGCCCCTCACTAAGGACCCATTTGGGGCAGCTTATAAGTGCGAGGCGTTTTTGAAAACGCCGCTGCCTATAAAATAAGCCCATTTTTTATTTGGAGAAAAGTTGATCGCGGGTCGATACCCGCGATCAGCGTTTCGAACGCGCGATTGGGGATATTTTACGCCTACGCCCTCGTTCCCTAAAACATTATTCGAACTCCTCTGCCTCCGGCTCCGCTATTCCTCGAGCCCGAAGCACCGCTCTGTCTCGCGCCGAAGTGCCGCTCCGTCGCCGCTGACTCTTCGTTGTTCCTCCGCTCCGCCGAAGACCCGCG